GGGGGGGGGGGTGTCGCTCGCACCGATTCCCGGACCTCTCTCGATCGCAGCCGGGACGGTCATCGTGTAGGTTTTAGTTGGTTGGAGTCCGGCACTACCACACCGTTTTCCCCAGAAGCGGCCTGGTGTCTGTGCGGATTTCCTCCACGTTAAAAAAAAAATGATTGTTTTATCTCTATATTTCGTAAGTACATTACCCTAAACAGAATATTCCGGACGAAATTTTTCACACACAGCGCGCGTTCTCAAATTGTTTATGCAATTCATAAAACGCCTTCAACGACGTGCGCGCGAATTATCAAATAGTGTGCAGGAGCACAATGTACCGTGCGTTGCAAGTAGCAGAAAGAAAGATTTTTATTTCTCACGGCGTCGCATTCGAGGCTTTTCCAAACGGGATCTGTTGATAGAAAGAATTGTGCAAATATTGTAACAAATGCATGCTGTAACAAATAGCTATATTCTCGTGCGTATCCAGTATGATATAAAACCAATAGCGCGGCGTGAAACAATTTTTGCATTCCCGACCTGACGAAAGAAAGAATGAAGCTCTGTGAAGCCAGCTCGTATATACTCATTCACGTTCGATGTGTTTTTCTAATAATTTTTATACGCTTCGACGATTAATATCTATATTTATATCGGTATGTGATTGATCATTTTTGGTCGATTACTTATTGCAAAACGAATATGATACTTTTTATGTAACTCTTTAGTTGATGCAATCGTTGATGCATTCTATGACTACACTATCATATTAACCAATTGTAATATGAATTTATCAGCTTTCGCTAAATTTGAGCTTTATTTAGGAAGAGGTGGAAGCGCGGTGTGCCAAAAGTTTTTGCTTTGATATTACTGCAAGAAATCGCTGACTTGCCACGTCTGGTTCTATTTAACTTAGATTTATCGCTTACAGGAGGAATAATGTGTGTCTTTAAAAATAATTATACCTCACGCAGTTAGTGATAATAGAACGAAGAAACAATTATTTAAAATCTACTTAATCCACACTATAATAATAAGCATTTTTCTTTAATAAATCGTATGCGTTATATTCACTTTATTCTTATATGAAAATCTTACTATTTCAATATGTGTAATCGTATATCTTACAAATCATATTACAAAATAAAATTAAGCTCGAATTACCATGGCGTCGCTATGACGAATAAGTAATCACATTTAACAATTAAATCCTGCCAAAATTCCCAAAACTCAGATTCAAAGGTAAATTCCTACAAAGGCTGTATCGTATTACCTTTGAAACGTTGCTACCAATCCAAAGGAATGTAGTTGTTTTAATTAACAACTTCTTCGCAACAACTTCTCCGACTTCTCCGAACAGGTCGTTGTCAATGAGTTATTATCACGGCATTAAAGAGCTTTCTTGCGTTTTGACAAGCGTTTGTCAAGCGTATAAAGAAGGTAGTAAATCTGAAAAGCTGTTCTCACGTTGTGAATACGACTGACGGTGTGTTCTAACGCATGGAACGGCTGCAACGAAAGTCTATACCGAGTACCGACGACATGCACGACGCGGCGCGGTGCTTTGAACAGAGAGAAGCGTGAAGGAGTAGCAGAAGCAACAGTTTATGTCAATTTTCCGCTCGAAGGAGAGCGGGGTTCGCGACGAGACGGGCCGACTATATCGTGCTCGCTCGTAAGCGTGCGTGCCAACGCACATGTATCCTCCTGAAAATATCGCTGTTACGGAAGCAATAGGCAATCGAGCGTGTGAAATATTTTCACGTGTAAACGTGTCCGCCGTGTGACGGGCAACCTTGTTATTTCAACTTTAGTTATTCAACTTCCTATGGCACCGTTTCTCTCTTTCTCTCTCTCTCTCTCTCTCTCTCTCTCTCTCTCTCTCTCTCTCTCTCTCTCTCTCTCTCTCTCTCTCTCTCTCTCTCTCTCTCTCTCTCTCTCTCTCTCTCTCTCTCTCTCTCTCTCTCTCTCTCTCTCTCTCTCTCTCTCTCTCTCTCTCTCTCTCTCTCTCTCTCTCTCTCTCTCTCTCTCTCTCTCTCTCTCTCTCTCTCTCTCTCTCTCTCTCTCTCTCTCTCTCTCTCTCTCTCTCTCTCTCTCTCTCTCTCTCTCTCTCTCTCTCTCTCTCTCTCTCTCTCTCTCTCTCTCTCTCTCTCTCTCTCTCTCTCTCTCTCTCTCTCTCTCTCTCTCTCTCTCTCTCTCTCTCTCTCTCTCTCTCTCTCTCTCTCTCTCTCTCTCTCTCTCTCTCTCTCTCTCTCTCTCTCTCTCTCTCTCTCTCTCTCTCTCTCTCTCTCTCTCTCTCTCTCTCTCTCTCTCTCTCTCTCTCTCTCTCTCTCTCTCTCTCTCTCTCTCTCTCTCTCTCTCTCTCTCTCTCTCTCTCTCTCTCTCTCTCTCTCTCTCTCTCTCTCTCTCTCTATTTGTCTATCTACCTACCTATCTATTTCTCTCTGTCTCTATCTCTCTCACGCCCTCCCTCTCTTTCTGTTTCTATCTTCCTCTCCTTCTCGTTTTTTCGCACTTTCTCTCTCTGCATTATTAATAATCGACTTGTATTTCAATTTTGCCTCGATCTTCGCTAAATACGTACAGAAAGATTTTTTGACTGAATTTTGTATTAATTAAGCTTAATATTTAATTAACTAAACTTAATTAAAATTAATATCAAAATCGACTCTATATATTTTAATGAGATTTAGATTCGATTTTAAGACACATCCGAACGTACGTATAACGTCTCAATCCGTTTAACTTCAAATGAAAATTGAATATTTGGCAGATCTAGCCGATGTATTGATCAGTTCTGTCAATAAATATTCTTCGTTATCCAATATAGACAGTCTTTCTTCAAGACATAATTGTAACAACGAATATGTTGACGACACTAAGTGAACTAGTGTCCAGGTCCATACATAGAAAACGGATTGAATTTTTTTAAGGAAAAATAAATACCAATAATTTCTTTAAAATTCATTTCTTAAAATAGAAATCGTCTTTTCAAAATATAGACAAACTTTTATACTACTACTAGGAATACTAACAAAATTAATTAATGAATATTTGAAATTAGGAAGGTATACACATAACAGAAACTAATTAAAATAATCTGAACTTCAAGTATAAGTTAAACCGGATCGCTTACCAAAACCAAATGAAGCTTAGGCGGTGCTGGAAACTTAGCTTGTAAAGTTAATTAATGACTAACTGAAAGACTTCAAAATCTTGTTGCTAGATATTTGTTCGATGTCTGATATTATAGACGCAATGAAACTATTCCCTTGAGAAGAGTTCAATTACTACTTAAAATCTTAAGTATTGGCGCAAATAGATTGACTAATTTTTACCGTTTCTCTTCAAGACTAATCTATTTCAACTTTCTAGAAACACTAATATTCCCATTAGCTCGCCTGAAAATCGTTCTTCTGTAAAGTCTCGACACTCTTACTACACATTGATCATCATACAAAATTTCTCGTTGCCCGGATCAAATTTAATTTTCGGACAAAGAGTAACAAAAAGCAAAAAATTAAAAAAATAATGTCGATCGATCTAAGGACTATCTACGGTGCACGCAAATAGAAATCTTTAATTGACAACAAGTGAGGAAAGATGCGGCACCGTAATCGAATATTCTCGTTTTCAGAATTTCATCGCGACTTTCAGATCGCGAGCCGATTCCGATTCGGCTTAAAAGGTGACTAGAGCTGGGATATATCCGGCAATCGTCAGAAATGCATGATCCTTTTTGCATCCGATTATGCGATCGAAAGGAAGAAAAAGGATCGATTGTTTCGTTAGTTTCCCCGGTATTCACGTTTCCGCCAACATCGCGGTAGGAAGTCCGAACGAAATCCGAGATAAGGCGCACATGCACATGCATAGCCTCGCGACTCTCTCAGAGATACGAAAGTTTACTGTGGAAGCGAGCGCGTGTTCAGCATTTGCATATACACGGTGTCCTGGCCAAGGACCCTGCTTCTTTTCTCGCTTTTCTTCCACCGTGGTTTCGCGAGAAACATTTTGCACGCGGCAACTTGCGAAGCTTTAAAGTGTGGATTCGGCTGTGCGAATGAGAACCCTTTTACTTTTCCTAACTTTCGTCTCTTATTTCTTTCCCTTTTTCTTTATTTGGGTTCCCAGATTTTGAAACCGTAAAGTGGAAATCGTACTATATGTCTCGGTTTCTTCCTTGCTTTGTTCGTATTTTATCGTCCTAAGCTGAGATATACCCAATTTAAGCGAATATATTCAGTTGTTTCTCACGTTATTGGAAGTAACAAAAAAGTTAGTTAAAACGTTTTATCGTTCGTAACGAGAACATTGAAAAAAAGATAATCATACTGGTCGAATTTTTAATATTGTCTGTTCACGTAGCAAACATTAATGAAAACATGTTATTTATGCATGCTACGGTGTATAGAATATTCATGAAGTTATTTATAGAAAAATCCTGATGCACGTAACATGCTCTATTGACGTGAACGTAAACACACGACTTCAATTTTTTATCGTTTAAGAAGGATGTATTCGCACTCGAATGCGGAAAATAATTATTATATCATGAAGGACGAAAATAAATCTGAATTGTGTTTACCTTTGATTTACGTAGGAAGTGTTCGATTCGTATCAAAAATAAAAATAGATAGAGTTTAAAATGAAATATACGTAATAGCGGTGAATACTACCTCTTTTGTATTATTCTGCATTATGTATCATTATTATTATTACTGACAAATTATGAGATATTTTCGTAAAAATATAACAACGCAATTTAATTTGCTCAAACTCTAGAATAAAAAATTTGTCTAAGTACTGAGAAGTTACAATTCACACTGTTACATTTGGCACAGTTACATTTAACACTGCTTCGTCTAACGCTGTTTGAGGCTTGCGAGAGGTAGCCGAATCCAGAAGGAACAGAATTCCAACGATAAAAAATTGTCGTACGAAGAACTTGTCTCTTGATATCAGTGGGACGTATTCCATCATCGAACTCTGATGTTTCATTTGATTTCATCTCAACAAATCCATCGTTGTAACCACCTCGTTTCTTTTTTTAATCGTAAGCTGTACATACACAGACAGACGAGTTCGCATCATTCTCGTACGCGGATTACACTTTGTACGAACACAGATATCGTTTTTATCCAAACGCCGTCGTGCCGTCTGGCCATCTTCACATCCACTTTATCTTGATTCGACTGTGTATTTTCCAACGATGCGTTCTTCCCGACGGCTTTTTCCCCATCCACCGAAAAACTACGTTCTAGGGAATTCGGCGCGAGCGTGCGAATGTACACGTGCACAGGAAAGATTTTCGAGAGCTGAATTTTTCAATGCCAACAACAGCTCAGCTGGCTGGTATGACGAACACGTGAACGGTTTCTCTTGTCGCGTCAATTCGATCTCCAGTAAATGTTTCTTTTTTATCGAACACGCTCGAAATACCAGATAGTATAGATCATCTTGTGATATGAATTTAATATATTGGACAAATGACAATTAGAAACGAAGTCCTATCTGTATTTCATATGATTTAATTGAAATTTAATTTCAATTCTATTTCAGCTTAATTTAATTTTCGAGAATATATTGAAAATGTGCCTCCTTCGGGTTTATAGATATTCTATTATAGCTGATTGAATAATTATGTCAAAATCGTGAAAATAGTTGGCAATGGGTGTAAATAATTTAAATTAGAATTCTTGGTGCCGATATCTGTATCAATATTCCATGCGTTATATGTTAAAGTTAAAATACTGAGCGCGCATGAGCTAAAATCGATAAAATGCAAGCTCCATCATTATCGACATCGACCACTTCTGTTCAACTGTCGCGGATTAGACAAAAGCACGGAAGGGTGGCTAAAATAAATTGTAGAAATGCTGATATGTTGAGTCGGCTCAATCGAATCAGAAGCTCGAGGAGGTAAGATCTAACCACGTTCCTCCTTTCAAAGAAAGATGGTCTGACAAATGACAGCGGTCTGTCTATCCTGAGACCAATGAGTCGTCCTTATCAGCTGCTTCTCCGCGCAGCCTCTCGATTTTTCCGGTGGAAACGGCAAAAAAACCGGTCAAGTCTATCTATCGATATCACTTCTCTGCCATGGTGGTAGACTGATGATGGAAAAACAACGCCAAGGGTAGATAAACTGTTACCTTTTTGTCACGTGATATCATTGTCCGTGAAGATTAAACGGCCGTAATAAAGAAATAAAAAGCGACCAGTGTTGAATGACGATTAACTATAATCGCCCTATCCTCGTGCGGGTAGAAGCGATTTCGGTGATTATTTGGTTGATAGATCTTTAAATTTAATTGCATACCAATATAACTTTATCGATTGTTTTTATGATAAAAGTATTTATCAAATTAAATATTCGCAACATGAAATCTTCAAAGTTAAGAAAAGCAAATACCATGCTGTTTCCAAGAGAAAAATCCAAACTTCTCGAAATCGTGACAAAATCTCGAGCCAAAATACAAGGTTTAAGAAAATATGTTCTACGGTTCAACGGAGACCATCGCCCGAATCGCATTTTCTCGAAATACCCACCCATAATCGCAAAAAGATAAAGAAGCTATCCAACTGCATCGGCCCACCTTGAATACGATGCTTCGTTACCCACACGATATCTTCCCAGCTCGCAGGATCCAATCAGACCTCGAGGATCCAAGAGCAAAAGGAGAAACTAAAAGCGGCGGGAAACTGCAATTCCCGGTTTCATTTGAGGGCTTCCGGAAGCTCCGTGTAACTTCGTGCCCAATAACACTTACATCAATAACCCATCTGCGAGATCTCGTATCCGCGGTACGTATCTGCGAAAAACAGTCGAAAGCATCCCCGTGCTTGTGCCAGGCTTCCCCTTATCTACTTCAAAATCACAGGCATTCCACGTATTAAAGCAGGCCGTTATACTCTTGCCACGATCCTCCACCTGCCCCAACCTCTTTTCTCTCCTTCCTCCTCTTTTTTCTCCAATCTTTTCCCTTCTTTCTCCGGGGCTCGCTCTTATTTCCCACCTTATCGGTTCAGATCTCATAAATTTCACGGAAAACGCGATTAAGCGGCCCCAGGTTGCGCCCGGCTTCACCTACCTCCGCCTACCACCATCCACCCCCTTTTCCGGCGAACCGCCAACCCCCTTGGCGACCCTTCCAATCTAAGTATTCAAATGAGAGGACTCCACCCCTCCTTCTACCTCGTATAGCTTTTTACAATCGCCCCCTACATTCCCCTTCTTGTTATAACCACCCTCCATCCTTCCCCTCAGGAGACTACTGGTGCCACGTAAAGGTGGAAAGCTGCGAATAGTAAGAAAAGTAGCTGGGACACTTGTATATCTATGTTATGAATGCGTAAAGGACTCGCAAGAATATCTAGCAAAAATGTAAATAACGAAGCAGCGATGATAAAACCTGGTATTTAAATTTATAGTAGCGATGTTTTCAACAATGGAAGTAGGTTTTTTTTGTCAAAAAGAGATTAGCGATGAGTAACGAAGATAAAAATGAAAACGCAATATATCGTAAAATACCAAGATGACACGGTGCAACAGAATTTCCATCAACTCCCTGAAAACAAAGATCGACGAGAGGCCACGTCTACGATGTACTATTTTTGCAACAAGGGAATTGCGACGAAGAGAGAAACAAAGGACTCGTCCATGAAAAGATGTTCCAGAAAAATATCCTCGACACCGAGGGCAAAACGCGGTATTATTTTACACGCGACAGGAAGAAGCAACGAAACCGAAACGAAAAAGAGCAGAAGTAAAAATGTGAGAGAAAAGCTTAGTAATATCGATAAAATTTCGACAAAGTCTTAAGAGAGACTACTTTTATGTTTGCGAAAGAAATAGGAGAGCAAAAGAGGTCTCGCTGAAAAAATATATCTCGTATCAAAGGAAGAATGAAACTGGATATTAAAACAAAAAGGATATTGGAAGAACGAAACGATTCTATTCCGCGGTGATATCTCCACGATCGCTGGGAACGTTCGAAATAGGTCGTAATTAATATGTCCGGAACGTAACGTAATTGAAACGATGGAGGAAATTGTGAACTTTAATGTAGGCATTACAGAGAAAAGTTGGCTTTCTCGGATTTCGCGCGTGAAAACGCGATATCATTCTCTAATGAGAGCCGGTGTGTTTAAAGATACAACAGAAATAATGAGAAGGGACTTCGATACGAGAAAATCGGGATACATTATGGTAACAAAGGAACGGGGGGAACCCAGGCAAACTGAAAGATTAGTTCGGCTTAATAAAAGACCGGATTTAATTTTCGTCCGATACAATTATAATATCGAGTGCAAGTTTCGTAAAGATGACCAAGTCGGAAAGCAATATTTCACAATTTGAACTTGTAAAAAGCTGCGACGTTCGTGTATTAGGTCCTGTATTACGATACTTTTTTCTTATGAAATTGAAAAAGACGAGAATTTCCTTTTCGTTGAAGTAATAGATAATAAAATCCAAATTAAATTACAGATTCTTATCCGAACAGAATATGTCTGGGACGCCATAAATTGAAACGTAAACGCGTTGAATCGATAAGGAAATAATTTCATTACGAATGCATATGTGTGTAGATAGTAAGTTCAAACGTCACTGTAAATGCTGCTATTGAAATCACTCGCGGTATTGCGGAACGACTAGGTCAGCAGCAGCTTTTCGTACAAAGTATGATGATTATATGTAGGTATGATCGGTATTTCACGATAAAGGAATAATCAGAAAAAATTTCAAAATAATATAAATATAATAATAAGAAGGGATATTTCAACACAGGTCTCTTTTTCTCACATGGCAATTGAAGACTGTCTTCCGTTTTTCATTGGCTGCACAGTCGCACTCCATATACACGCACGCACGCATGCACACACATCCACACACACACAGTCACCGCCGATTTTATTTTAAATTGCATTTCTCGGTTTCAAATTAACTTTTTTGATTTCATCAATCCAGTACCTATTAATTCTTAATTAACGTAGTAATAAATTCGTACTCGAATACGTTCAACAATAACGATCCATAATTGATCAGACAGTAATCCAACACTACGATATAACGTTACATTCGATACAAATAGTTATCTGGAACTTCGGGATTATTTCGCACGTGGTGGGCATACTAAAGTTTCCTTAGAAAATAAATACACTGAACTATACTATAGAGAGTACAATTCGATATTAGCACCAATTTTAATCTACATAATTTTTGCTTGAAATATTTCAACACATGAGCTTTTATCTGTCATAAATTCATCCGAACGTCGCGTCGTTTAAAAATATTTTAATATAACGAGAATTCACAATTTTCTTAATGAATAACAGCATTTATCATATCTCATACCAAAACTTCATACACAAATAATAAAAAAAAATAAAAAATCAGTTCCACAGTCTTCTTCTGAAAATTTTACATCACATTTCTAACATTGTAATAAATCATATTTAACTACAATACGTCGAATCTCGAGAAAACCGAATTCCATCTCATAGTGGTAAATTCATTTGCTTATCTTTAAACGTATGGTAAATTGTGACAGAAAATGTACGCCTCGCTCCGTGATATTATACACGACCAAAATTGCGTTTTTTTCTCTGCTTTCATCGTATAAGGCAGTTAGAGCCGCCACTCGTGAAAAAATACGATTCTTTGCTTTGACCGCGATAAAATCGGAAACTACCACCCTACAGATAGAACTGGTAGTCGAATGGAGCGTAATTCAGCAATCTTATCTAAATGAACTTCCGTGTCCTAATATCGTGCGTACTTTTAGTAAACGACCGAACGACCTAGCAAACGTTTCTTTCTAGAGGGGAAAATATAATTAAACAAGACGCTAAAAGTCGAAGATTGGGTTACGCTGACTGCTTTTCATCGCCAATTCTCAAGATCTTGGCAGATGTCCATGTTAACACGCTTCTTCGTTATTTGAACGAGATCGTTACCGAGTTAATAAGTATCAAATATATCGACTAATTCGTGACGACTCTTGTCGGTTGTTGGAGTTGAAGTGACTAACATGACTGTGAGTTCTAGTAGTAGATATAATATATGTTAATGTCTCTGGTGATAATTGAAAATGATAAAGAAATTCACAAATACAAAATGAAGATTCCAAAGTTTAAATATTAGATTCAAAAATTTGAGTCCAAAAAATCAAATTTATCATCACATACTTATAAATGATAAAGACAATAATATACCACTGTTAGACAACGTCATCAACGTTGATTCTAATTTTTCATCTCGCGTCCTCCTAATCGAATAACATTTTATGACAAGCGAATTTTCATGGGAAACGACTTTTATCCAATTTTCCTCTTCGGTTCTCCCTTCATAAATTCCCTCGACGAAGTATCTCTTATATTTCGGCGGTTTCCTCCATCTTTTGTTCGCCGACCGAGCACACGCTATTGTCCTGCACGCGGCTCGTGCGTGTTGCTTGTGTTCTCCATGTTTACCAAAGAGTCGAACACAGCACGAAATACCGATTTCAAAACAGCTTTAAACGATTCCATAAAAGTTTTGTGTTTCACTGGATCGTCCCAAGAGGGAAACTGTTTGAAATATTACCCTCAAAAGAGTTCCCAAGTGATTCTTTGAACATTTTTTGTCTTTGTATTCTTCTGCTGTTTCTTATTCATTACGTGTACATCGTGTGTCAATTCTTTTTCCTTCAGACCCTGTTGTGTCAAAGCAAATTTAGAGATTAAGGAAAGGAAAAAATCTTTATTTCGTCAGTACCATTGCAACGTTCGATGTTTGATACATGCATGTATATCACGTAAAATTTATACAAATTTCTAAAGATAATAATTCACAGATTTTCTACTCCTTGCTTGCTTTAATCACAGAGAGACGTAGAGATAGAACTCTAGTTCTACGACCGCTGTTTATTTCTCTTAAACAGCCCTTCCACGTATTTTGGTACACCTTTTAACCACGTAAACCAGAAAGAATCTGCTCGGCGAAGTCTCGAGCGAGTCTCAGTCAGGATCGTTCTACCATCGCATCGAAGACAACCCCTCCTTGACAAACACAACTACGACACAGTTTGTTCGTCATATTTTCACGGTGTACTAAAATGATACTTCTCCGTCCATCAATCCGTCGTAAAGTAAATCCTGCCGAGAATCACGTATCATGAGACGGATTTATTCCCCAGCGAACGATGGTAGAGGAGAGAGCAAGGTAAGACGGCGAGTGAGTATATCGGATTTACGTACTGCTCTGCTTGCCTTTTGCCCCGTCTTGTTCCATCCCCGTGTTTCCCTCCCTCCAGCCTGTTTACGCTGCAGATGCTGTTTCTTTTCGTCGCCGCTTTAAAATGCGATTTCCGCAAGCCGGCTTGGCTCTCCGTGGCTGACTTGCGGCGCGCATTATTCCCTTATTCTCGTCTCAGGCTCGAGAACTCACCGATTTTTAATTCTTACTCCTCTATTTTTTCCCATAGCTTCGCGGAGTTGAGTAGTTTTTAATATTTCAACTTGAATTACGGCTTCGTAAGATGTTTGAAGTTCTTTCATTCCTTTTTCTCTTGCTTTTTTTGAAATGTTTAAGCTCTGCCTCGTGTAAGATATTGGGCTAACAATAACGGGTTTTAATTTCTTTTTGATGATTCAGCCATTCCCTCGTTGCGTTAAATATTCTTTCTATACTTGGTTCCTAACTAAATGATTAACTTGAAATTTTTATGATCACAAGCTAAAAGTACATAGAAGCTACAAAATTTAATTTTTTATATTATTCAAATTTACTCTCCTTAAAATGCAACCTGAATTCCCTAATTATCCTTCCCGTGATAGATAGAACGTAGCAAAGTTTACCGCATATTTCATAATTGTGTAAAGCGGGAATCTAAACAGAACCAAAATCTCTGAATTAAGCAGTCCGTGATTCACAAGTATGCATATCATGCTGCGCAGTATGTTGAGTATTTGTGTAGTTTAATACCCTGCTGAATTCGATTTCCTGTACCCTTTAAATCGCCATGTTTGAATTTACGCCTTCCTCGATAAGTTCATATAGCACAGAACACACACACGTAGACGACTAATATGATCATCAAAAATTGAAATGCAAATCGTCGACAACCAAACCTGGATAATGCATGCGATCATTTTCAATTATCAAATCGATCTCATTCGTCGAATAACTTGTTTCTACTCGAAAAATGCACATAAAATTTGTATCGATGATTCGCGGACAATTATAGCGCTCGATGATTAAAACGGAATTAAAAGCACAAAGTTACAAATTTCGAGTGGCGGGTTTCATCGAATTTTCCGTTGATATCAATATTCAAATTAACATTGAAATAGGTATTAAGTATCACTGTTGTAACGAGCCACACATGGCTATCCGTGTTTTGTTAGATCGTTTGAAACCGGATATATATTACTCATTATTAAATTAAAATTAAAGAATCGCATTAATATCAATGATTATTAACGAAATTGGAACGCTGTCATGCGCGTTAATTCACTGATACGTTTTCGACGATCTGGCTTCCCATATTAAAGAAATGAAACGGGGAATGAGCAAAAACAGAATATGATTAATTTGAAATTTAGTAATTCTTTCAAAGTATCAACTTTCGGCGGGATAATAATAGAAATTAAATTGTAAGAGCTAAAAAGGCTACAGAATATATATTGTTTTGACCTAAATACATATAGCGGATATTCTTCAACTTCTGAGGAAGGAAGTCGGAAGCACTGGTTCGTTAACAGCATTCTTTATTAAATAAGAAGGCAAAAAGACAACAGCATATTGGATGCATTTTTAAGCGCACCTTTGGTATAAATAGAGACCGTAATGGGACCATTGTGCATCAGACATGAAGAAACAAGAAACGAAGAAGAAAAAGAAGCTAACTGACATCGATTTCTCGCATCGAGCTGGAAATAAGGTTGGTTCGGACAGCAGAGCAACAAGAAAATGCCGATATTTAGATTCGCATTCATCGAATCGTTTGTCGTTTATTGGATATCTCGACAGACGTCCGAGTGTACAATTTTTTAATCAAGCACGTGCTTCGTTTAAGAAGGTATTCGAGCGTTTCTATGTCATACAATGAGCAGTCGCTAATGCGTTTAGCGTGACGTACAGAAAACAAGACAGTCGTTGCTTACGGTCGAACAATTTGCTGTAATTCGTTCTTTTATGCTCTATACCGAGATAAAAGAGTTCGACGTGAAATACTGCAGTGAAACTCAGACGTTGAAAAATACAGAGAAAATCTAAGTAAAGAATGCGACATAACATTTTATTTATTGGACGTAACTAGTGACTAATATACCAATTTACAATATTCTTTTCACTGAAAAATGATTGATATTGAAACAAACAGAAAATTTCGATTCTATTTCCATCTATAGTTTAGCGTAATTAATTTTAAATTAATAAATTATCGGTATATACATTTTTTTATAATTGCGCAAATATTGTTCAGACACTGATATATTGAAAATGTACGATATTGATTTGCAAGTTAAGATTACAGGAATTGTTACTGTTTTTCTAGTTAAGAGTATGAGCAGCATTCTCGCGTACATACATACAAACATGTTTTGCGTAGCAGTTTTATGCAGAGCTTATGCAAAATGCAGGAAACCAACCAAAAAATTCACGTCTGTTATCACATTTTCACCCTCTTTTACGACGCAACGCAAGGCCATCTCAAGGGGAAAAATTAAATTTTAAGTATCACTTTAATACTGTACTATATTTTTTTATTTTTTTTTTTTTTTTACTGTAAACGTATTTTAGTCTACGAGTTAGCAAATTTGCTCATTTCTTTAGTCGTATTACGAACTTTACAGAAAAGAGATCGAATATTTTCAATATTTGTAAAATCAAATGATTAATGAAGGTTTAATGATTTTACTTTAGTATTTGAAATAAATTGCAATAGATTCCTTCCCCTTCGATGTCCTTTCTAAAGATCAAACTTTCGAATATTCTCCTGCGACGAAAGTTACAAACTCCATGAACTTCGATGAATTTTATTTCTGTATGCCATAAAAAGTAATCAACTACATCAATCTCTTCAACTCATCAACGATCTCTTCAACCCATTCAGCAATAGAGAAAACGCGGACAATTTAGACTTATATTCATCGCGTGGAATGTAGTTTATTGGACCTCTCGACGATGGTAAAGGTGCGTAGTCGATCGTACCCGCCCACTCGTCACACGGTGCGCCAGTTTTCCAGCAAAATGCCACGGAACGATAGGAGTTTAAAGGACGGTGTTGTTGCACGCGTGCCAATCTCGAGAGACCGTGAGACGAGCGAACACGCGCACACGCTCCTCGAACGGCAGTTAATCGATTTTAATTTCCCGTCCGCCTTTATGATCGAAAATGGTTGGTATTCCTCACGAACACGTCAACACGACACTTCTTTGCGAACGCGACAAATTTTCTGAAAACCAAATTGTCAACAAAATCCTCTCGACAATACGAACGTAACGCCGTTGTATGTTGCTTCCGATTAATCCCAACAATCTCTCGCCGAAACGCGTTTGTTTAGAATATTTTCGAACGGCTGTCAGAATTTCCATGCTCTTTGTGGGTTTATGGATTTGGCACTTTTAAAATTGATCGTTCAGTTATAAATTTAATAGAAGGGTATTTGGGATTGTAAAGAGGGAATTTTGTAAAACGAGATTAAAAATCCTGAGGTTTTTAAAGAGGCAAAAATAAAATATCTGAAGAATTTTTTTTCGTTTACTCTAGGTATTTTTCCTCCTTTCTTAGCGAAAATCACGGATAAATCTACAAATAAGTTTTAATAATTAAGATATTCCTGTATTATAATATACGTAGAACGCGATATTATAAAGAAGCGATTTAGTTATCGACATTTTATAAGAGAAAGCTCTAGTGATTTTCGGCTCTGATGTCCCTGATGAAACAATAATCATTTCGATATCACGCTTTTGTTTCATTATGTAATCAGTGCGAGGATCGTTCGAAATTTTGAACCTAATGCAATCACACTTTTAATTGGAAAATAACAGCCGGAGTCCGTTTAAAAGTAAATTCCGATTTATTGGATATCGAATAAGCTTTGCTTTAATTACGTGCTGAACCAGTAATTTCAATCAACGTTTCAATAAGTTTCAGATCATTCGGGCCGCGAAGTGCTTTCGTTTCGACCGTCGAAACGCCGGTATTAAAACAGGGAACGATCGCTTCTTCCTCCATATTCCTCCGTTGTTTCGTTCGATTCACAGGCTAAACTCAAATATTGAATCGATAAATAACGAGAGATTAGAGTTATCGCTTCACCTCGAAGACACCCCGAGACACCTGATTTACGCGATCGAATTTATACTCAATACTTAACTATTTGAGCGAAAAGCGCGTCTGTCGAACAAGTTTCAATTAAAATCTTTAATGGATGTTGAAATTTCAATGTTCATAACGGCACAACGAGCAGACAGCTGGTAACTTGACGGAAAAATAACTATATAATTTGCTTATTACAACAGTGTTCTCATCAATATAGAGCAACTGTAGGAGCAGCCATTGAATCTCATTCGAAAATCGCTTCGCAGTATTTATCGATCACACGCCATCTCGTTGCTCTTAGAGCAGCATATTTTCGGTAAACAAGAAATCCATCTGTTTACTTCTCCTCTCGTTGGCCGATATTCTCCCGTCGAAATCCTAGGAACGTCGCGAAACCTCCATATTTTATTCCTCAATCCATGCAAATCATGAGAGGCTGTACTCGCGCAATCGCGCGTGCTAACATAATGCAATTTATTTGCTGGGAAAAATTTGTCTTCGTGTCCATCTAGCGCCATTTCAATTCCACGGACTGAACATGAACTAGGAAAACGGAATGGCAAAAAGAAGGGAAACGAAGGATACAAGAGGAAAAGATCGCGTAGAAATAACTGGTTCCCGAAGATCATAACTCATCGAGCTGGCAGAGTCAAGGAAGACTACGTAAATTTGGTCGCGGAACAACAGCAGATATTTGATTCCAAGGGAATTCGTGACGGGACAGCCGCGGGGATCGAGACTTTCCCTTTCCACTCGGATCGGGGATTCAGACGGTGGAAGAACCAGGGTAGAGGGGAAAGTAGAACGAAAGAATAGAAATTGCGGGGAAGAGAAACGAGAAATTGGCGAAACTGGGTAGAAGAGAAAAGGTCGAATGAAGAGAAATGAAGAAGGATGGATACACGCGTGAGGAGCATCGCGAAACGCGCACGACGAACGACTGTGATTTATGTGGATCCGGGGACCGGAAAGTTTATAAACGCAAACGCGATATTGCGAGACTTGTGGCTGGTGGCTAAAGGGAAAGAGATCTATAGAGAAAGGACTGAGGAAATAAGACAATTTTTGGAACTTGTCACGAAAATACTGGTATTAGTTTACGATGTCTAAAGTAATAACAATGGAGTCAGAAATGAAAACGATGTTGATAAGATAAGGTAATGAAAATAAGAAAAAGGTAACATAGAAAAAGGAAACGTGGACTATCTATATTAAAAATAGTTATTTAATCGATTTCATACCGTTCATGTTTAGGTGCTTTCCTTAGGTGCCATTATATGTGTATATTTTAATGTTAGGTAACATTTAATATAATAGATTCCATAACAATTAATATAATAGTTTAATTCTTTATCGTAGGAGGCAGACTAATTTTTGCAAATAATTCGCTAATTATTCCCGTTAATTTTTATTAGTTTTGATGTAATGGAAATGTTATTCCGTCCTATCAAAATATCGAATATACAAGTATTTTCACATACAACAATTTGTGTAAAGTGAAATTTGGGATCGAAATATAAGACCTTTGTCCAGC